AAGGACACCAGTGGCTCTTTGCAGCTGAACTATAGCAGAGCTCTGACTCTAACAGCAGGAGAGGTAGTGATCAGTGTCCTCGCAGGCTCCTCAGAATAAACACAGCACCTTCTAATTACAAATTCAATACCCAGACTTTGCAAGAAAAACTAGGCTTATTGCTGTCCTCACTCCTTTCATTACTACTAAATTACGTCCCATATATGGAAACCTGACTTCAAATAAATTTTCTTTGAAATTAATGTGTGAGTCGGAAAAGCCTTCCCATAAAACATAATTACTTTTGTCTGGTCCATACAGGTAACTGGTCAGCAGCTCCCATGACAAACTCCAGTAGGACACAAATTAGTGCTGAATTCCAGTTGAACTCCTTGTGCAGGGACTGGTGTAATTAATATTAATTGCACTTGAATTAACACTCAGCTACTGCTGCCTCCCCGGCACAAATGATGAAACCGCAGCAGCATTTTAATTGTTAGATAATTATGTTAGATAGACATGAAAATGGGGCATTATTCATGGAGGGTTCTTAGCATCCCAACTGTTTTGGTACCTGAGTTCCTCACAAAATAGATCACAGAACAGTAGTAAAGCTGAACTGTTTTTAAGTATTAATGATATATTCTCCAGAAATCATTAGGGAACTTGCTAACGGTGTTTTCCAGGTATTTGTGGTGTTACTTCACAGTCTGGGGCTTGTTTGCATCTGCTGTTCTTCCAGGCTCTGATCTGGCAAATACCTTAAACCTCTGCCTAAGCCAGCAAGGCGTTTCATGGCATCCCCTACTTTGAGGGAAAAGTCCTTGTCTGTTTAAGAGCTTTACAAAGAAGGCTGCCTTTAGTAAAAAAATTTAAATTAGGTATGTGCTGAGCTGGTGTGCAGGGGCTGTTTGCTGACACAGAAAGCTGGTTTCTGTTTCCTTTCCCAGTTCTTGCACAGGGACAGATTTTTTGTGCTCCTATTTCCTTACTCGTGTTACCTCAGGAGATCCTCAGCGGATTTTTTTTTTCCTCTCTCAGTATCAAGAATGTAGTGTTGGGTTGATAAAAAACAGGTGTGATAAAGAGGGCGTGTTTCCAGATGCACTGATCTGGACTGTTTCATTTCTAATTATAGTGGGAGTGCATGGCTCTCATTAATCCAAACAAGCCATGACATTCTGGGGGAGAGATGTCTATGTTTTTGAAATTTTCAAAGATCTGAGACGTGAGTTTAGGAAATTGCTATGTATCATTCAAAGAATAATAAATGTACAAAGGAAAATGGATTTTGAAATGTTGGATTTTTAAAAGCTGCACAGTGCTGGCCTCTGTGTTCCTCTGTCAACCTTGGTACATGTTCAGCTTTAGTTAGAGCAGAGCTAGGTGAATGACATTGATTATTCTTTCATGCTTTCCAAACAATTATGTGTTATTTCTTGCAGTACTTTACTGCTATGTAGCTATAATTCTAAATGCAATAGAGTAATAAAATAATAGTAATTCTTAATGGGAGGCTTTAGATACCCTCCTTTTACATTTGATGGGTCCCTCTGCCTTACAAATAGTCGAGAATTAATGTTGTAAATTAAGAAATAAAGGAGGGAAAACAGTCAAAATCACCTGCTGTGCTCTCAGCTCCTTCAGTGTCTAGTTCCCTGCTCTGGCCTGTTTCCACATGGGATTCAAGCAGCTGGAATATCCCTGCTCTAGATGTTTCTCAGGAGATGTTCAGGCAGGCAGGACTTGACCTTTCTCTTTCAGCTGTTCCTAAGTTGGAGCATGGGGGTGGAGCAGCATCTTTTGCCGTTTCCCACCTGCCTGACCATTTGCTGACATGAACACTTTCCACTTGAGAAGCATTTGAGGGGTGATGTTGCTGTCACCCCACTGCTGCTACATCCTCCTTGTGTCCTCAAGGGCACCCCTGTGCCAGCAAATGCCACTAACCCAGCAAACCAGGATTGGTCCCTGCAGCAATTATTTTCGTTTCCCACACCTCCTCTTCCCCGTCTCGTATTACCTGAGCTCCTCTCAGGGCACCAACTCGCTATTCCTTTTACACTCTGGGCTCGCTGCAGGCAGCAGGACGTCCCTACCTCCAGCTTCAAGGTCAGTTTAACTATGTATGTATTGGTTTTGTAGCCTCAAAACATAGCATTTCAAGTACAAGGGTTATTAAATACGGATTCAAAGTGCCACAGGATGTGGTGTTAATTTGGCTATAATTTATTGACTTGTATAACCACTTGGTGCAGGGAAATATTTGTCAGCCCCCCACTGTACAGCTGCTTCAAGTTATGGAGTCAGAGGGTTGTTAAGGCTGGAAAGGACCTCTAAGATCATCAAGTCCATCTGTTAATGCTGACTCTTAAGTAACAATTTTAGTAAGGGAAAAATAGGATACGTTATAAGTTCAGAGTAAACTTCTCCAATTACATGAGTTTTTTGTGATTTTGATTGTAGCTCTCTGCACTGCGAAGATGAGAGGTTTATACTGCAAAATAGCATCAGATGGGCTCAGAAGGGTGAGCAGTACCTGCAGCTTGGCTGGGCTTTGGCAGGACAATTTGGGCTGCTGGGTCTCACCAGGTGGGATCTGACCAGCCAGATCTTCCACTGACAGAAATCAAAAATCATGTTGTTGCCAAGGGGTCATTGTCTGATCTATGAAGAGTTGCAGCTTTTACCATGTCTTCTCTATTCATATGAATCTAGTCACAGATACACAGCTTGGAATTTTTTTTCTTAATTAATATGTTTTTATAACCATTCACTGACCTCTGGCATTGCAAGGAGAAAGAAACTGAAATGTAGTTGATTTTTTTGGTAGAGGTATTCCATGCTGTGATTAAGGCACAGTTAGAAGTATGTCTGCACTTGGAGCATTGTTTCTGCACTTTTGGAGGCTGTATCTGAAACCGACATGAGTCAGAAAGGTTTGAGTGAAACTACAAAAAAAATCATCAATGTTGCTTTATGAGATCTGATGTTTTAATTTGCATCTTGTTCTCTGAACCTGTAAGGTGACACAGCAAGCCAAGAGCAATGTAAACTGATTTCTGGGCATCTAAAAATGGTCTGTCATGCGTGTAGTGACTCATGACATTTATTGCAGATGTTTCTAAGGTGCCAGAACCTTTCATGGACGGGTGAAGAAAACTTTCCAATGGCACCTGTAGGCTTTAGCTCGAGCTAAGGCTGGCTTAGAGGAATTACTTCTCAAATATAAAAGGCCAGCCTCCTTCTCCCTCCAGCACATGGAAGTCCAGCTCCCTGCAATGATACCTTTGGCTAAACAGCTTAGTGGTTTAAGACATGCATTTGCATCATCTGTGGCAAATGCTGAGCCTGTGTGAACTTTAGCTATGACTGCCATTCCTCCAAAATGTCACTCAGAATCACATGGTGTGGCAATTAATACCACTCTAGACATGGCTCAAATATTTCATCTAGTTCTATTTCTAGAAATGTCACTGTAACCCTCTGTACCTTCCTCCCTTCTGTGTTAAAATCACATGTGATGCCAAGTGTGAAATTTGGGGTAATCAATACCTGTGCTCAACTACATCCAGAGAAAAAGACAGCTTCCTCGTTAAAAGAAGTTCAAGAAAATCAAGAATTAATGGCAAAAGCTTTTTTTTTTTTCTCAAATATTAAAAGTAGTTGTGAAGTTGGCGAGTTCATGGGGTTTGAGCTGGGATTGCCCCTCTACCTTAAGGGGTGCCTGCAATTCTTTGCGCTGTTCATCAGCCAGCACCAGATTTGCAGTAATGACTTCTTTTAAACCTTGCTGATGGCTTTTCTCTCCACTTTTAGTGCAAGGTGGCTGATGCACATATTAAAGTACAGTTTTAAACCAAAAATACACTCCTGGAAGGGTATCGGTGTCCTGAAGGCTGGTTACAGGTCGCTGAACACGTCTTGGGTCTTGGGGCAGAGCAGGGAGATAAAGGCTGTGACCTCTGTGACCTTTTGGACACATTTTGCTGATTCAGTGGCCATAATTCATCAGGCATATGGGAATATTTCCTTGGAAAAGCCAATGCTCATTTGACTCTGAGTTTGTTGACCCTTCATTGTGCTGATGAGGTGAGAATGAGGAATGTGGAATGAGAAAACCTTGGTTTTGCATGCACTGAATGCCACATGCTGCAGTAGCTGTTTCTTTGAGTCAGTGTTCTGTACAGAATTAACCAAAACTGTGCCCTATAGGAGGGAACCTGGTGCATGGAGGACACACAACAACTGTTCATGGGACAATTGCTCTGTATTTCTCCTCTCCTGTACAGCAGTATTTTTGCTTTCTCTAAGTGATATCACAAGTACAAATGACCTTGGAAGTGAAAGTTTAAAGGACTTTCTGCCAGTGACAAAATCCAGTCCCAGAGGTACTGAGCTGTGCTTCATGTCCTGGTCTTGGGCCAGAAGCATCTGTAATCCTGGGAGGGCACAAAAGGCATCCAAATGAGTAATTATGCGGCAAGTATTCAAAGCATGAGCAGACTGAGATAACAAGGGGAAAACATGCAAGGCAAGTCGTCCAAACACTTTAATAAATAAAAATAAAGATGTTATGCTCAAATACCTGGAGCCTTCAGAATGCCTTGCAGTATACTTGAATAATAAGAAAAAAACCCCAAAACCATCTATACATTTACCTGTAGAAAATATGCCTGATGCTGGATATGAGCCAAGACATCTGACCTTCCACCAGTGAAAGGGTGCCCAGCTGTGAGCACTGTGGAGGCTGTGCTACCTGCAAAGGACAGGGACACAGACAGTGCAGGTGCTGAGTGACAGCAGAGCAGCTCAGCCCTGACCTGCACTGAAACAGCTCAGTTTAGATCACATCTCTCAATGTGCCAAAACCCCTATTCATTAAATTATTAATAACTCTTAATGGGCCTATCCATTACATTTTGGAAAAATGGTCTTATTACTACAGATTATTATAAACTACTAGATATTATATCATTTAACATATTATTAAATATTATATCTATTATCTGAGTGACACATGATTGAGGTCTTGCTATGAATCGTAAGAATCTTGTTAAAATCTATTAAGAATTAAAATCATTAAAGCTTATACCGCAAAAAAAGTGTTGTGTCTAATCCCATAGAAATTAGACCTCATTTGGACAAACTGAGAACTAAAAATCAGTGCACGATTAGTTCACAGAACTAAAAATTAGTGCATGTTTAAATGCAGCTAATTCTGTCTAAAACAAAGTCCAAATTCTCATGAAGCTTGTGGTGGACAGAAAGAACTTGAAATTTCTGGAAGGTTGATGCAATTAATGCGCCACTTAGCACAAATAAAAGTTAAGTAGAAAACTATCAATGATAATTGGGAGCCCTTTAAGAATGTTTTATTGGTACCTTCAGAATCCCACAGCAGAGGGGAAAACTTCTTGGCTTATGGGGAAGCATTCCAGTTTAAAGAGAAAATGAAAGTACTAATAAAAAAAAATAAAAATTGATGGGACTGATGCAGGCTTAAATTAACCAGGTTCTTGCTGTTGCAGACAACTCCCATCACAGAATCTTACTTGGAAGTGTATTTATGTCCTGACTGGAAATAATTCCCTACTGAGTGATGACTTTCCCGAACTCAGGGGACTGTGACACCCCAAGTGACCATGACCTGTGGTCCCCAGGGCTGGTGTGGTCTCCAAATGCTTGAGCTGTTTAATGGACACATGCTCTGCTGCTCCCACGCTGGGTCTTGGTACGCTACTGGTTTGAAAGGACAGTTCTGGTTTTGTGAGGATGTTGAGGATAAAACACAGCGGAAAGAGTTCAGGGCAGAGCCAAAGTGCGATTAGTAAATATGAAACTTCATTAAAAAAACCTGATGTAGAGACATGAATTATTAAGTAGCTGCATGTGGCACAAAAAATGCATAGAAATTTCTGCAACAAATTGTTAAAAGTAATAACAAAGGCCAGAGATTCAAGCTGAACAGACACATAGGACAGAAATAAGAATTTTATTTATTTTTTACCTGGGGTTGATTAATCCTCAGAACTCCTATATCTCCTCCAGACCATGCTCTCTCTAGATTGCTTTGAACACAAAACAGATGCTTTCCTAAGGCAGATGTTCTCCTTCCAGTGCACCTGGTCAGATCAGGAAAGCACTAGATTCCTTTCCAAGGGTTAAAACTGATACCTCAAAAAATTATTCTGATCTTGAGACAATATTCTTTCCCCTTTCCAGCTGCACCATGGCAGCACTACAGACACCCATAAGAAAATGAGTTTTCTATCATGGGCACACGGGAAGACACTCAGCAAAAAGAAAAATATGCACTTTCATTTCTTAGGCTGTGCAGTGGTTAAATTTCCCTGGTGAAAGTGAAATCCTTGCAGTGGAGGCTTAAAGATGGTCTGTGGTGAAACCTGAATTACAGTAGGGTATTTCTGGTAAAGTGCTCCTAGAAAAAACATACTCCTTTAATCAGAGGTACTGATGGTGCAAACCCATTGTAAGGGCAAGTTGACAATTTCTGTGGGGGAAAAACCAGCTGAATCTGTTAATGATTTGAGGTCAGATTTGAAAAAGAGCTTTGATGAGGATTTTCTCTTACTTTGAAACCATTTCATTCAGACTTTCTTAAAACAAAACTTTTAAAATGCTTGTTTTGAAGCAATGCATTACTCAGAAATCATATTTTGTGAAGAGAAAAAAAATTGAAAAAAACCCCAATGCTTTCCTATCAAGTAAAGTTTCTTATTAATTTTGTACTCCCATTATGTAGAAACTGTTTGCTGAACTTAACTACCTGTGCAAGGCACAACAATTTGTGCTGCAGGACTATATACATTTATATCAGGACTAGAGCCCACCCTTGTGGCAAGAGGTGTTTATTGAATTAGGAGTCACATCACTTTGGTAAAAAGGATTACAGTCACCTTTCCACAGCACTCGAGATGATGTTTTTCTTCTCATTAGGAATTCTAACTTTCCTGGATCCTTTGCATTTGACAGTCATAAGTGACGGCAATGCCATGCTCCAGTCAGTAGATTCTACCTTCAGTTGCAGGAAGGGACATGTAGTTAGGCACTACTTTTTTAAAAAAGAGGGGGAAAAAGCTTGTCTTACTCTGATTTATTTCTTTTAGGTAGACAACCTGCACGGTCTGTGGCATCTCCAGTGTTGGAGGCTTTTAAGAGCTGTCAGAGAACTCTTCGTCAGGTAAAGTAGAACCTGCCCCAGGGTAAGGGGGCACACCTTTTGTGTGGTCCAGCAATACCAGACTGTCCTAGGGAACAAGGTGCAGCCACAGTGCAAGATAACTTTACCGACAAGAAAAATACTTGTGATAAAGGACATTATTTAAACAGACACTAAAGCTGAGAGGGTTTGCTTTAGAGATTAAAGCCCAGCAAGGCACACCCAGTCAAAGACAGGCATAAACCAGAGTGAGGAGGGGGTTCTCTTATTCATTCAGCAGCAGCAATGTCCCTTAAAGTGACACAGGATTCAGAAGCTCCAAAAAAACCCAAGCTGGTGGAGATGCTGATGAGTGCCTGGGGTCGTTAAAGTCATAATATCATCATCTGCAATGGGATTTTTATATGGCTTCCAGTTTTCAGGACAGGAATTTGACTGGCAGCCAATTCCTTGTTATAAAGATGCATCAGTGAAACAGGGCTGTAAATACACAGGGCTGCTGTGAAAATACATGTGATGTTTCTCAGACACTTGGATATAACAACAATAGTTCTGTGCAGATTAGTCACAAGGAAATATTTCCAGAGTGTAAGACAGGGATGCTGTACCGTGAAAAAGCACAAGAACCACCTGCTAAACACACAGAAAAGAAATAATCAGAAAATCTCCATCAGAACCCCCTTATTTGACTTTTATTTACAGTCAAACATTCTCCCGCTACATTTTGGGAGGGAGAAATCCTGTTGCAGTCATGACAGCCTGTCCTGCAGCTCAACCAAAATGAATTAATAGATTTAGGGAAATTCTTTCAGTGAAAAAATACTAAATACTAAAATATCTGTCAATTTCACTCAGCACCTTTCTCTGGAAGTAAAGTTAAATTGACTGTATATTGTGTTTCAAAGGCATGAAGGAGAGAGAATGAAAAAATTCAGATATAACATTGCTTAAAAACTATAGAGGACACGAAACAAATGACTCCAAACTTAGAATACATCCATGTTTCTCATCTTACATATGTGACTGATGGAGAAGGATGTATTGCTTTGCAATAGAAAAACCAGCAAGAAGAGAAGATTTTTTTACCAAATGAGAAGATAAAGATGCAACATTTGTCTTTAGATATGAGTGGGAAAGATGAAGAAGTAAAGGGTTTGGGTATAACTAACCCAGATCTACATGAAAATTATTGGAAATTAGAACTCTTATTTTACTGGAAATAAAACCAAATGCTTTGAAGTGTTTATTATTACCTCCAAAATTACATTGAAGAGATTGCATAAAGAATCATATTTTAAAAAACTTTTGGAAAAACAACTGAAACGGCATATTCTGGAGGAAAGATTGTGTTTACTTGTAAATCTTCCATGCCCATTTCCCAAAGATGATTTACCAGAGTCCAGTTTTAAGAATAAGCTTCTGTCAATTATACAAATTGTAATTGTAAATTTAGATTCGTAGAATCATGGAATTTGTACCTCTTATTTAGAATGGAGTTACATCTTCCTAAGGAACTCACAATCGCCAGCACAAGTAGTTAAATTCTGATTCTTGGAGGAAAAAATATGCACAGAACATGCCACTTTCTTTGCTAGACTTAGAGACCTCCCGTACTCCAGACATAATCCCAGTAGAATTAAATAGGGAAAATACACCTGTGAATATCAGTAATTTTTATGAACACTCTGGATAAGTGCAAACCAATAATAAAAACAAATTTCTCCTCTTGCAGGACTGTGGTGTGAGGTGAGGGTTCACTTGTTGAGGGCATTGTGCAGGGTCTGGTGAGCTGACTTGGGGCTGCCTTCTCTTGCAGAGAGGAATGGCTGGCACCTTCTGCCGTCTGCTGGCCGGCCGTGCCTCCACTGCGCTGTTTGCAGCCGCGGGCACAGGGGTGCTGACCACGGGCTACCTCCTAAACCAGCAGAATGTGAAGGCTGCTGTGCAGGAGAAGAGGAAGCTCTATCCTCCAAGGTGAGGACGGGGGAACAGGCAGGGAGCTGGGCACAGTGCCTTGGCCATGGGTGTGGGAGAAACACCTTGCCCTTGGGAAGAAGGGGATGCCTGTGGAAGTGGCATGATCATTGTGTGGTCTGTCCAGGAGCTGAAAAACAGCATCCTGTACGAATATCTCCAATTTCAGATAGCACCGGCAATGACCTTCAAGACCAGCCTAACATTTTTATTTTCCCTGGCTTAGTACACCATGCAGCTTTTGTGCAAATACAATGCCATTAAACCAAACCCTGGTATTGCAGAAGAAGAGCTGCCCAGTGGCCAGTCAGATGGGCCCACTGGTGTCAATGAGAACAACTGGGCTCCAAACTACAGAGCACTTCAGCTAAACTGAATTCCCTTCCTGCTTGAACTAATCAATGCTGGAGTTCTTTTATTCCTGAATAACGGTGTTTTAGCAGAGCTTCAATGGAGCTTAGTACACTTTCAGAGCTCATTGAGATTCATTTTCCTGATGGCAGAAGGCAGTTTGTGGGGCAGTTCCAGCAACCAGAATCTTCCTTCCTTCCTAAAATTCAATGCAACATATAAAAAAAGAATAGTTTTAATGTACTCTGAGTGTCGTGTTCCCTGTAATAAAGCAGCCAGAGTCACTGTTAAGAGGGAACAGGTTAATGTCTCCAGGCTCTTTCACCCCCAGCGCGGACTATCCTGACCTGCGCAAGCACAACAACTGCATGGCCGAGTGCCTCACCCCCGGCATCTACTCCCGGCTTCGGGACAAGATGACCCCCAACGGGTACACCTTGGACCAGTGCATCCAAACCGGGGTGGACAACCCTGGCCATCCTTTTATTAAGACGGTGGGAATGGTGGCAGGGGATGAGGAGTCCTATGAGGTAAGAGGTTTCCACAACACTGTCATGTTTGGCTCAGTTTTCGTGGTGTCCTTTCCCATTAGATGAAGACAGATTTCCAGTAGGGTACGTGTTCGAAAGCCAAATTATATCCCAGAGGGTACATAAGGGGCAGGGCATGTGCATAAAGATGGTGTTTTCCCTACTTTTCCACATTAGGAAAAGCGTGAACATAAGGTATTGCTACAGGTACACTCTCTGCTGCAACTGATACTAACAAAATATACCTACTTGGCACCTGCTACCTGCCTCCAGCAGCTGCCCTCCTTCGTACAACTAAAGTTAGTTTATGGCAAAGCTATCCAATTCTAGGACACAAAAATGAATGTAATGTGGAAATCACACTGTGGAACAGCAGAGGCGCAAGCAAAACAGAAACATCATCTGTGAAGTGCCAGGCATCGTTTCATTAAGCCACAGCTTTTGGACCATGAGGAAAAATGAAGACAAACAGCGTTAGGGTGGACAGTTTATTTAACTCTGCAATGACAAGAGGAAAATGGAAGAAAATGCTTTCTTTTTTTGACCACTGTGTTCTGCTTCCGTCAGTCTACTGTGATGGTACTTGTTATTACACAGTCTCTTAACAGAGCTGCCCAAGCACTGGGCAGCTGAGGGTGGATTGGGACACCCGCCATTCTGGACTGTCCCCTCCTGGGGTTTGGTTTACCTGTCCAGGTAAACTGCCACTGCTTCTTATCTGAAAGTGAAGTGGTGGTTGGTGCTGGCACACCCGAGCCAAATGATTCTGACCAGAACTGGTATCCCATGGCAGGGAAAACACAGGGTATTCCTGCATGACCCAAAACCAAGAGGCAAGTGGCTGGAGGGGCTCTAGGTGTGTGTTCTGGCTGGTAATACACCCCAAAACCCAATCTGGTTGTCACCACATCCAGTCTCTGTCTGTGGTAACTACAGGCAGAGACTGCTCTGTCTGGAGCTGGTGCATCAAAGCATTTCTGTGGTGCAGACTCTTTCTAGATTCTCTTGAATCCTTAGGTGTTTGCTGAGATTTTTGACCCTGTCATTAAATCGAGACATAATGGCTATGATCCACGGACAATGAAGCATCACACTGACCTGGATGCATCCAAGGTAGGGTTGAAATAAAACAGTGAGACAATAAAAGATCTGAGCTGCTTATTACAGTGATGGTATTGTATGCAACAGTACCTTTCTTACTCCTGATCCAACTCTGAAGACACCAGCTTTATGTTTAAGGAAAGTGGGATACCACTCAGCCCTGTCAGCTGCATCTCCTGTCCATAGCAGGGACTCAGTCCCAGCTGAAATAAGCATTTGGGCACTGTGGGTCTGCTCATGAGCTTACAGATCACAGAATTTTCATGGAATGGTTTGGGTTGGAAGGGACCCTACAGCTCATCCCATTCTCCCCCCTGCCATGGGCAGGGACACCTTCCACTATCCCAGTTTGCTCCAAGTCCCGTCCAACCTGGCCTTGGATAGTTCCAGGGATGGAGGAGCCACAGCTTCTCTATATTCCTCCCAGGATACCTATCCTTGCTTCCACTCTCCGTAGGCTTCCTTTTTGTGTCTGAGCTAGACCAGGAGGTCTTTGCTCATCCACACAGGCCTCCTGGTGTTTTTTCCTGACTTCCTCTTTGTTGGAATGCATCACTTCTGAGGTTGGAGGAGTTGATCCTTGCATATTACCCAGCTTCCTTGGGCCCCTCTTCACTCCAGGGATTTTTTCCATGGTGCTCTAACAAACAGATCCCTGTAGAGGCCAAAATCTGCTCTCCTGAAGTTCAGGGTAGTGAGCTTGAACTTCAGCTGATCATTGTTGCAATGGGTGACACCCCCTCCTCAGCTCCCCCGTCTTCCTTCCCAAGGAGCCTGTATCCTTTCATTCCAACACTCCAGTCACAGGAGCCATCCCACCACATCCCCTTGATGCCACTAAGATCACAGCCTTGCAGGCATGAGCACACCTCTGAGTCCTCCTGTTTACTTCCTATGCCACAGTGTGTTTGCACAGAGACATTTAAGCTGGGCCTCCAATGAAGTCTATTTACTGGCTGACTTGGATGCAATTCCTTGGGCTGGAAATCTTTGGATAATCATCTGTGTAAGGGTTGGAATGAAAGGAGTTTAATCCAATATGCCCACATACATGTGGGCAAACCTGAACTGCATCTTATAATTTCCTTTATAGTTCAGTTACAGCCTTATTTTAGGCTTCCCTCTTCCAGACGACCTCCCCCACCTAGTTTCCTGCTTTTGCCCATATCCTTATTTCCAAAAGCCACCCAGATTCCCTCATATTTTGGGACCACAAAGGATGAGCTGGTTACTCCAACATGGTCATCCAGCCAAAGAACCACATTGCTCCTAAAAACAGTTCCTGGTGCCTGAAACTCTTGAAGGGCTCTTGGTGCCTCGAGTGCTTGTGACCTGGAGGAGAGGCCACCATGCCTGGGCAGGAAGATGCCGCTCTTTTTGTGGGATGGGGTTTGGATTGCTTTAACAGTGGACTACAAGATGTGTGTGTGTGTGTGTGTGAACTAACAGAGCATCCTCCCCCTCAGATCACCCACGGGCAGTTCGACGAGCGCTATGTGCTCTCCTCGCGGGTGCGGACTGGGCGCAGCATCCGTGGGCTCAGCCTCCCTCCCGCCTGCACCCGGGCCGAGCGCAGGGAGGTGGAGAACGTCGTGGTCACTGCACTGTCTGGGCTCCGGGGGGACCTCTCAGGCAAGTACTACAGCCTGACCTCCATGACTGAGCGGGAGCAGCAGCAGCTCATCGACGTAAGTACAGTCCCAGTGCCAACACCACCTTCACTCCATCTTCATCCTCCTCCGGGGTACTTGCTGTCCTGCATGGGCAAGGAAGGTAATCACAGCGTTAACCCTACAGTTAATGGCCTGCCAATATCTTCAGTGGAATAGCAAATCATCCAGAGTCTGTATTTTTGTGAAGCATGTCGCTGTGTAGGTCTGAAACGTGGGCTTATACCCCAGAGAGCAAGATCTGTGTCAAACCAAACACACGTGGCTGCTGCCACCTCTCTGGACAAATAACAAGGTGAATTCAGACTTTCCTGGCCATTTCCTTGAGCAAAGATTGATATTTTCTATATTAATAACCGTTCTAACTAAAGGTACTACACTGGAATACATAGTATCTGTATTTTAGACTGTCGTGGTGGGGGGCTTTGGCTGAGATTTCTTTATGCCAAAACTACACTAATTCTAATTTCCCAAAATTTGGCTGTAATTTCATTAAGCTAAACTACACTAATTCTTATTTCCCTAAGATGGCTGTAGCCTACCGCACCCAGATGACCTTTTCCCAGTCCTGTTATTGTGTTTAAGAATTTGAAGGATCAGGCCCATAATGAGAGTTTTCATTGTCACACAGATTGAAACACAAGGATTTTCACCATGGATTTTGTCACAGCATGTGACATGTCAAACAAAGCTTGAAAGTGCATTTTAAATATCCAAAGGAATGGCTGTACCTTCTTAGCTATATTTGTGGCACATTAATCCTAACATCAACCAAAAGGGAGCTGATGAAGTAGCATAACTATTTATAACCTCAAAATATGTGTCATAGTCTGGATTAACCAGCAGTTAAGAATTTAGGTAAGGTCAGTAACTTTTTTAATTGAATGTCCTTGGTAATATGTTTATTGACAAGATGTTGATAAGCTATTGCAGGTTTTATTTCCTTGCCTTGCTCAGGAGGACAGGCTGAGAAAGCAGAAGTTGAAAAGTGGAATAGGCTTCACAGATTCAGCATTTTACCTTGCTTTGTTTAGCTTTATGCTCACAAAAATTTATAGAAGTCAGGGCATTGAATGTTATAAGCTCATATTTGTCCCTTAACTCACACCATTCCTTACCTCCTCCAGTACTTTAGGACCTTGAACCCTGGATCAGACTTTGTGCCAGGCTTTCATAAGCACAATTTGATCAAAGTAAGATCAAGTTGATCTCAGTGATACCAAATCAGTGCAACATGACTGGCTCCCAGCCCAGAAGGCTGAGTATTTTGCAGATCTGGCCATATGCACATAAGGGAAACTAATAGCTCTTTTCTTGAAAAAAGGGGAATTTTTCTTTCAAGAAAAAGCATCGAGTGGAGCCAGCTGAGGAAGGAAAATTTGTGTCCCTGTGATGAGCAGAGAGATCTCTATGCCTTTGCTTTCTGCATGGTTGGAGTTCTGGCTGCACCATGTCCACCACAGGGTATTTAAAGGTGAAACCTGAAATTCTCCATTAAGGCAAAAAGATGTAAAGCATATAGATGTGTCTACCATGTCATACGTATTTTGGATAGCTTGCCTCACTATTCTTAGTTAAACCTGAGATTTAAAAACAAACAAACAAACAAACCAAAACCAATACCCCCAGCAAGCCCCCTCCCCCCCCCCCCCCCCCATTTGATATGGCAGTATTCAAGGAATTAAGAACTAATAATTTTTCAGGACACACATGAAAATCAAATACTTCTTTGGTCTGGGGAAAAAACCCCCAAGAATCCAACTATTACTTTAAAAAAATCGAAACAATTTGGAATGTGGCAAGTAGGTGGCACAGCAAGTGCTAGATTTATTAAATCAGAAATAGCATCTCTGTTAAGGAACAGAATGAGTCTCTGATTCCAAAAGGTCAAGATTAACACTGGTTTAATTCCTATCTTGACTTCATGCTCAGAATAAATATCTTTATGCCAGAGAAGCATCTTTTCAGAAGTAGCACTTTTTGTGAGGGTTTTTTTCTGTCCTTAAGAACTCGTTACCTTCTCTTACTTACCATAAGGTGTGTATGTGTGCAGAGAACCCCTCTGGATCTGGCAGACAGGTCCCTCCAGAGTACCCTCTGGTGTGTCCACGTGGTGTTAGGTTCCACCTTCCAACCCTCCCTACCTTTGAAAAACACTTCTGGCAAAACATGGTCACTGTACCCATGTTGGTGAGAATCTGCAAGGCTCAAGAAAATCACCTGGGTAAAGTGCTTTCAGCTGCAGGCAAAGGAACCAGGTTCACAAGCTATACTCTCTGATTTGCCTGTGCTTCAACTGCCTTCACATAAAATGTATTGGACAGTGTTGCACTGCTCCCTCGAATAAACCTGAATTTTGTTTTATTTTCTCTCCCTCTCTCTCTTTCTCTCCCTTTGGCCCCATTTTGGCGCCCAGGATCATTTTCTCTTTGACAAGCCAGTGTCCCCCTTGCTAACATGTGCTGGGATGGCACGTGACTGGCCAGATGCCAGAGGAATCTGGTATGTTGTGTGACGTGCAGGAGCTCGTGTGTGCTTTAAAGATCATGTTACAAACTTTCTTGCTTGTCCTAACCTTGCAGCCACTCTGACCCCATACTCACTGCGTTTCCAGTTGGTTTTTAAGAAAAAAAGAATTTTAATTCCCAGGGCTGAAAGTAACTCTTTCTTTCCAAATAATCTGGACAAAAAGGAGATAGGGGAGTTGAATTTCCTGTTTTGTTCTAGGTCTGTTTCTACTGTCACAACACATTTGATGCATTTTGTGCCCAAATGCCATGTTTTCTGTGGAGATAAAGGGATAACAGCTCTGAGATGAGTGCACACACCCACTAGGAGAGGATGGGGGAGGCTGTGCAGTGCACAGCATCTGCATCCATCCTGCTGTACTTCTAGGCATTACCAGAGGCTTTAATGCTGAAAAATGAGGCAGAAAGGATTCTGAGGAATCACCTAGCTGTGAAACCTGATCAGCCATGAAACCCAATGACCTGCTGGAAAACTGTGAGGATTTTTTTATTTCAACAATCTTCCTATTAGATTCAACAAGATGCAGGTTCCCTGGTCCCCATCTAAATCTGAGGAAAGGAAAAGACTAAAGCTTGAGGCACATAATTCACTGTCTCTACAAACAAACAGGAGAAGAACCAGTAATTTAATTTCTATTCAGGGATCCCCTGAATAAAATAGACCTGGTTTTGGCTTCTTTGACATGTGAAATATCATGCGGACTGGAAAAAAAAAAATTAGTGTGATTGGAAAGTATTTCTGTAAGTAACATTTTGAAAACCTGCCTTCTTTTGCAAGAAATTGTTCTCAAAAAGAATAAAGATTCTGGAAATCATTTTGCTTTTAACGATTGTGATCCTGTCCTTGTTATGGGCTGTAGGACTATTCTCACCAACATCACCAGCAGCAATGGCATGTTTGTTAAAGCAGTGAGGCGACTTGATTAATTAAAGGGTGAGGTGAGCCAGGCCAAGCTCAGACTGTAAAACCTTTCCCTGAGCATTTGTACGTGACTGAGGATGAGGTGACTGTACCCCGAGTGACCCAGTGTCAGGGCACAGGATGTTTACACCTCCTCAGTGTTGCACTGGCAAACTCCAAGCGCAAAAAGGAAAAGGAGACACAGCAAAAGACCAGCTGAATGTCAGGCTCTCAGTGAGCTTGAACTTCCACTTTCATGTGTCTCAAACCTGATGATATTTCACTGTTGGCACAAATGAGTCTGATCCCATCAATCACCTTCTACATGCTGTAGAAGGGCTGTAGTAGGAGTGGAGAAGAACCCAGGAAAAGTGACCTTGGGTGTGACACAGCACTTAACAAAGCTGGCTATGACAGTCCAAGGCAAGAGAGGGTTTTCAGTTGTTTCTACCTTGACTGACAAACCAGCACTATCTGGGAGCAGCATCTGCGATCCCTGGATATGGCACTTGACTGATGCAGCCATCCAGTGCTGCCAATTGACACAGGGAGCACTGGGATTTGATTTAGGGGAGAACACAATTCAGTAAGGACATATTGCTTGGCCCCTAGCAGCATGTAGGTCTTTGGTTTTTTCCAAGAACAATAAACCCCATCCCTTGTGACAGAGGATGCAGGGCTTGGCTTCTCCCTTGGCTGCAACCCCCCAGCTGTGCTCATGCTAGAGGACAACACGTTTTCTCTCACTCAGCACTGCAGCAGCATGATGTGATCAGGAAATTGCTTCAGCTGTGCCCAAGAGATCTGTGTGTTGCCACTGGCATGAGAGATCTGACAGTCAAATCTGCTCAAATCCCTCACCATATAGAACAAAGTTATTTCTCCACACTTAACATCTCTGCTGCACTGAAAGACTATGATAAAACCACGACTATTCAGAGCTTTTTTTAAGGGCTTGTCTTTTAAAAGACATTCTTTTTTCCCCCTCTCTCAACCAGGCATAACAATGAGAAGACATTTCTCATCTGGATTAATGAAGAGGACCACACCAGGGTGATCTCCATGGAGAAGGGTGGCAACATGAAGCGGGTGTTTGAGAGGTTCTGCCGTGGTTTAAAAGAGGTAGTATCTCAGTGATTTTATTATTCCTGTTTATTTATTGCTGTCAGCACTGCTCCCTGTGGTTCACACTGAGCTGACATCTCAGGAAGCAGCAAAATGGAGTAACACCAGTCCACACAGCAGTTAAAGGAGGAAACAGGGGCAAATTGGTAACTGAGTTGTAGGGAAAAACAAATAAATATCCCCTTTTTTTTTACCATTTTGGGACTGTGGACTGTGGAAATTCATAAATCAAGCATTTTACTTGGATTGCTTGATTTGCCTGAATGAAGAATTTATTTGGCCCAGCCTCCTGGTTCTCATTTCTGATGATGGGAGATGAGTGGAGGCTGCTGAGGTTGTGCACAGGACTCAAGGCACGACCACTTTTGAGGAGATATGGGTTTGTGATTAAAATACTAAAAACCAATAGCCAGGAATTCTGGATTTTATTCTGGTCTATCTATTCACAGTGACAAAAAAGGTTTCATGAGATGGTGGTTTAAAACAGTTTTGTCCAGACAGTCCAGTTATGACTCAAGCCCTGTGTACTGCTCTGGGACAGAAAATGTTGATTTAACAGAGAAAGTGGACTTTACTGTGTCCCACGGGCAATATCATGACACCCTTGAATGGTTTGGGTTGGAAGGGACTTTAATGACTAACTAGTTCCAAGCCCCTGTGTACCTGTTTACTTTGGCTGAACGCCAGGTGTCCACCGAGACTGCGCAGACTTCCCCCCCAAAAAATGGGAGATGAAAGAAAAAAAAAAAATGAAAAACGGGGCTTACCGAGAAAGAAAGTTTATATTTACATGGAGAAAAAAGGAAGAGACTAATAACGCTACAAACACACAGGCAAAGGAAACTAACAGTAAAAATTCTACCTCCCCCACTGAGTGGTGTTTCAGACAGACGTAGCTGCCTAAAGGGCCACCTCGGAAGAAGAAGAAGAAGGGCCGAGCAAACTCTTCCTTCCCTTTTATAGCCACGCTAACATAACATGGTATGGAATATCCTGTTCCTCCCGGGAAAGGGAAGTGTTATTTAACTACACAAACCCACTACACCCTGCCATGGACTAATACAGTTGTGTACCCCTTCTTTATCACTTCACAGCTCTCAGCCAAAAAAAGCAAGGCTAAATAGGGACAGCAGGAACTACAGAGTCTTCATTGTGGAAGCAGAGGATGCTCGGAGCATCCATGGGGAAGTCTGAGTATGGAGTGGGCTTTGGGGCACAGAAAAACAAAGTCACCTGACAGGTGCTCCTGTGCCATCAGGGAGGTGACTGAGCCCTGACCGGTTCCCAGGGCACACCTGTAGGGCTGAGCAGTGCACAGGAGGTGGCACAGGTGACACAGTTTGCCGAGGTTGCTCCCAGCTCTGACTCCACCACTGTGCTCAGCCCATGTCAGCAGAGCAGCACCTGTGGACCTGGCCAGGTGTAGGGGGTTGACCCTGTCCAGATGTCAGGTACCCACTAAAGCCACTGTCTCACTCTCCCTTCTGCAACTAGACAGAGGAGAGAGAAAAAGAAACAGCTAAGGATTCATGAGTTGAGATAAAAGCTGGGAGAGGTCAGTTACTGATTACCTTCATGGGCAAAACAGATCAAAGTGGGGATATTATTTAAATTTATTACTCTCAGGATAAGAGTCAAAGAGTGAGAAATAAAACAGTCTTAAAAACACCTTCCCCCCACCCCTCCTTCCTTCGGTTTTCTCCCTCCTCCCCCCCAGCGGTGCAGGGGGACTGGAATGGGGGTTATGGTCAGTTGTTGTTTCTGCCGCTGCTCAGGGAGAGGAGTCCTGCCCCTGCTCCTGTGGGGTCCCTTCCACGGGAGACAGTCCTTGATGGACCTCTCCAGCGTGAGTCCATCCCTCAGGCAACAGTTCTTCCCAAACTGCTGTCCCATGAGTCACTCCTCCATGGGGTGTAGTCTTCATGAATGAGCTGCTCCACCGTGGGTCCCCCACAGCAGCCACAAGTCCTACCCAGGAAAAATCTGCTCCAGTATGGGCTTCCCTCTCCACTGGCTGCAGGTCTCCAGCAGGATGCTGCTCCATCTTGGGCCTCCCACAGGGTCACAGCCTCCTTCCTGCATCCACCTGCTCCAGCATGGGCTCCTCCGTGGGCTGCAGGTGGGTCTCTGCACCCCGATGGTCCTCCATGGGCTGCAGGGGCACAGCTGCTCCACCATGGGCTGCACCACGGGCTGCAGGGCCTCAGCTCTGGCGTCTGGAGCACCTCCTGCCCCTCCTTCTGCACTGACCTTGGTGTCTACATTGTTGTTCCCATGTTCTCACTCCGCTCTTCCCTGGCTGGAATTCTTTCTCTGCAACAATCTTCTGTTCTTAAATATGTTATCACAGAGGTGTTACTATTACTGCTGATTGGCTTGGCCTTGGGCAGCGGCAGGAAGTCCATCCTGGAGCCGGCTGGCATTGGCTCCATGGGACCGGGGAAGCTTCTAGCAGCTTCTGACAGCTGCCACCTCCATAGCGCCCCCCCACTACCAAAACCCAGCCACAGAAACCCACTATACCAGGCAAAGTAGTCAGGCAGCTTTGGGAACTATCACTAGAACAGGTGTCTGGGGTAGGAAATCAGGCCTAGTTTCTCACCATCTGTTCTGTTGTGCTCACACAATATAGAAATTATTTTAGAAGGCCATTTAGTCTGTATCCTTCTGCAGAACAGAAGTATTCAGCTATATTTGCAGAAGTCTTGTGAGCATGAGCTGGTTTATGCATCCAGTTCTCCTCAGGAGAAGAGAACTGAACTGAAATTGTATTTGGATTGCACAAGTAAACCTGGGAAGAGCAGATGGGTGAACAAAGTACCAGCCTACTCAAAGGTCAATAGACCCTTGCGATTTTCCTGCAGATAATTATTTCACTCTCCTGTCTAATCTGGTCAGAGACTTACTAATGAAAAGCATTATGTACAAGCTGTGTCTCCTTATAAAGGAGGTGTGGCTGTTAATACTGGACATTTAGAGGCCAGGTGTCCTGCCCCAGGAGTTAGGGCATCATCTTGAAAATTACACAAAACTCAGGTTCAGCTCCTTGTTTGCTTCATAGTGATTGAGTCCTTTGGGATTGTGTGTTGCAAACTAGCTCCAAAATTACCAAGTTAGAAACAAATGGCAAAAGCCACAATTCTTAGGTACACGTGGCTTCTTGAGCTAAGGCTTCACAAAAACACCAGGATAGGGAGCTTTGTGATGAAGTGGCAAAGAGTCTGCAAGGTGGTGGTCATGAGAAAATGACAGAGATATCCAGAGGTACCTGGTGAGTACAAACATTTTTGTGACACCTAAACCAGACTGGACCCAGATGTGAATTCCTGCCACTCCACTGGTGTTAGTGAAGTTCATCAACACAAACACATGGCAAGAAGAATCTCAGCTACCAGCAGACATCTTGAAATGAGACATTTGCATGTTGCCCTTTTTCCTTTCTTTCTGTCTTGCTACCATAGGTTGAGAGATTAATTAAGGAACGTGGCTGGGAGTTTATGTGGAACGAGCGTCTCGGGTATGTCCTGACCTGTCCTTCCAATCTGGGCACTGGTCTGAGAGCTGGAGTCCATGTGAAGCTGCCCAGGCTGAGCAAGGTATGTGAGTCCTTTAAAAAGCTGGTGACATAATTCAGCTCTTCTGATTTATAAAGGAACAGATGAAAAATGACAGCTCATGGTGACTGCAAGTTAGCAGGATGCATGTAATGCATGTTTAATTGAGCACGCTTTAATTCTGCAAATTATTGTCTTTGTTATGGAAATTAATGTGCTCAGCAGGAAGCTGCCAGGATGGGCAGTAATCCAAGGATGAGAAAACTCTCCACCTGCCTGCCCCTCTGGCAATGCTGTTAATCCATGGATCACAGCATGGCAAGGACATGGTATGACACACACACTGACAGGCAATAAACTCAAACCTGTTTCTTGTGACAGGACCCCAGGTTTCCCAAAATCCTGGAGAACCTGCGCCTGCAGAAGCGCGGCACTGGTGGAGTAGACACAGCAGCCGTGGCTGATGTGTATGATATCTCTAACCTGGACCGCCTCGGCCGCTCAGAGGTAACCTGTCTTTGTTTTGTGGGTTTTTTTCCTGATTTTTCCCCTTGCCTCCACCGGCAGTTTTTACTCCTGATGAATCTGGTCCAGTGGAAATGCTTATTGAAAGAAAAAATTATTAATGTGCATGAAGGGCTCGACAAATACTCCTGTTATGGCAATGAAAAAAATCAACCCTGACCAAGTTGCACAAATGTGATTTGCACCATGCACTGAGGACCTCTGCGAGAGTATGCAGGTGCTGGAAAGGAATAGGGATGGAGTCCTAATCCACCCAGGGAATCAGGCACTAAAGCAAGGCTTGGATTAGGGTGTTGTGTTCCTTTCACTATTGTCACGCACTTCCTCCATAGTTACACAGCAGGACAAGGCTTTCACTCCACAATAACTGAGGAGCTGGTGCCTTCTTAACATGTGTGGCTCCAAGCAGAGGACAGAGGAGAGCTAGGTTTAAATGACAGCTAAGTTTAAATCAGGGCAAAGAGTTAATTGCCACCCGTGAGCCCTCCCTGTTGGGCTGCAGACCATGATGAGATGGGTTTGTCTCAGACATTTGCTTCTAAGCCATTTCAGTCAGAAGGAGCATTTGTTGTGCCAGAGCATGGAAATGACCCTGCAGCCTGGTGCTGCTGCTGCCCTCCTGGGAGGTTCGGGTCCCACACCTCATTCCAGATTCGTGTTCAAGTGTTCTATAAAGCAGAACAGCTCCCAAGAGCAAAGCTAATGAGGATAGGGCAGAAAGAGCCGTGTCAAAGAGCTGCAGCCTCCTCCCACCAGCTCTGAGCCAAACCCTCCCCGAGAGGCTGTGGCAGCTGGGATGCAGTTTGGTCCTGGTGCTGCAGCCCAACACCCAACCTGATTCTGGGTGGGTTTTCATAGCAGAAATATAACCCAGGGATAAAGCACCCAGTCACAACTAGACTCAGCCCAGTCCACAGCCAGCCAGGTGATTTCCCTTCCTCACTTGCCACTGGGACAGAGCCAAGGCAGGTATCCTGCGCTTTCTTATTCAGAGGTGCCCTTGAATGTCTCCACAAACACAAGGAGAAGTTTGGAGATTTTAAATTTTGAAGTTTGATGTAGCCATCTGTGTTCCTTTGGATCTAGAACAAAACAAATGACAGTGAACAAAATAAATAAGAGTGAAATACAATTCAGCTGTACTATTTGCAAAAACAGTCTGTGACAAAGACATCTATTAATACCTGAAACATCATCATTTGTGCTTTATATTAAAATGACATCAGTAACACAAAAGGATTACACAGCATGATTAATTGAGTCCTACTGACTGACAGCCTAAGCCTACAAATTCTTGCTTATCTGAAGATTTCCACTGAAGTCAGTGATGCCTCCTACAGCAAGGATCCAAAGGATTAAGCCAACAGATGAGACACAATCCCTGCCTTGAAGAATCTGAAATCTAAATAAGGCAAGACATACTCAAAGGGATAGAAATGTTTTATTATAAGATATATTTTTTTTAGTACATAATAAAATAAATTCCATTATGTGGTAAACGCTTTTGCAGAATTGGATTATGTTCCCAAAGCTGCCAGATAAAATTGTTTGTATTTTTGCTGTATTTCAGTTACTGGTCAATGCAAACTTAATAGGAAATTTGTTTTCTCCTCGAGGCTGCAAATTCAGACCTCTGATTTCCCCAAACAGCTGGTCTGTAAGAGACAATAAAATAAAGTGTTAAGTCACTGAAATGCTTTATAAGTAAAAAATCCCTTGAAAATCAGCAACTGTCACAATAAAGAGACAATGGGATTTAGTCTTTGCACTCGTTTTTAACAAGCCAGTCATTAAACGTTGCTAATGAACCATTTCATGAAGATTAAGACATAGCAGTGCTATAGTTTGCTGGCTCACAATGCCACAGGGCCTGTAGTCCTCACATGTCACAGCCTGTGCAGAAAGTCTGCTGGGGACAAGCTCCTGGTATTCTTCAGCAATTCTGAAACAGGTTACAAAGGTACCACTCTCCCTACCCCTTCCCCCCCTCCCCCCCCACATAGAATTACAAATTTTGGTGCTGCTCCTGCCTGGAGCTGACCCCACTCCTGCCAGTGTAAATCAGGAGCTAAAAACAAGGAGTGCTAGATGATGCAGAGCCAACCTGAGTTCAGGATGAGTGCTGTGCTCCAGAGATGTGGGTGCTGAGCCTGGCAGAATGGGGAGGACATTCATCCCACCAGAGTGAGGGTCATCTCCAGGGGAAGGACAGGGGAAGGACATCCATTGGGAAGGACCTGGCTCTGAGCTGATGAGCTTTCTCAGGCAGCCTAAAAGGCCATGGTAGTGCTGACATCCTCTCAGTTCCAGCCATGTGAAGGACACCCAACAGCACTCAGGGCCAGTGGGAACCAGAGCAGTGAGCCTCTGCCTTCCTCTCCTTGCACCAACATCCCTCCTAATTCATTTCCATGTCTCTGTGCTCATGTGAATGTTCCTGCAAGCACAGGGTGTTCCGGGCCTGGAGCTGGAGAGACCCAACAAGGGACTTCAGTGCTTCAGCAAGACCTGCCTGGTGATGCTGAGTACACACAGCATGGTTATGTTCTCATCCTCTTATATGGAGTGTGGGGAACAAGATGTGCCAGGCATCCCTCCCCAGCACACAGCTGGGGAGGACCTTCACGGAATCACCTCTGAAACAGGTCTCAGCTCGTGCCTAAACATTTTATATAAGGACTTTTGTCAGATTTGTTCCAATGGGAGCAGAGTTTGGTGGAAATAACTTTAGGGACCTAATTGAAAATTTCTGTTCCAAACTTGAGGCAAACAGGAGAAGGGAATTACTGTGGCTTTGCACAACCCATTCTCCCTGTGCCAGAGGGTGTGTGATCTCCATGCCGTGACGCTTCTCAGGGGTCACTTTACCTCACAGCTTTACCTGCTGTCGTTGCAGTACAAGCCAACTTCCTATTCGTCTATTAACAGATGAGCTCAAGCTTCTATTACTATTATTTTCTTCTTGTTTTTGTAGGTGGAGCTAGTCCAGATTGTCATTGACGGGGTCAATTACCTCGTTGACTGTGAGAAGAAACTGGAAAGAGGTCAAGACATCAAGGTGCCACCTCCGCTGCCTCAGTTTGTCAGGAAATGATGTTGCTGCTGATTGTAGCAACTGATGGTAAACTGGTGGCTGCCATTCTGATGGGAAGGCACCTCTGTATATGTCTGTATAAATATGTTGTGTAATAAAACACTACCTGATACCCAAGGTCTCCTCAATGCCTGGCTGTACTGGCAGAAACTGGTCTTTGTACAGCTGCACTGGGCTGCACCCATACAATCACCTCCCTATCCTCTCTTTGGGGCACTGCTTCCCTTTCTTTCTTGGTTGGTGATAAGAAAAGTACTACTCCAGTAGTACTACTCTAGTTCTACGCTGCACTTGCACTTATGGCCATATTTACGATAGCTCCTGTAAGCACCCTATTCATGCCCCATGGCCTTGGGCTGCAGTCCAAAAACCAGGAGGCAAATCAGTTTGTTGATATCCTGCAACCCACATAACTCTGCCCAGCATGGACTATTCCAGGTAACGGGGACCTAGCTCAGCTGTCACTCCTCAACATGCTTGAGGATTTGCTGACACATCTCCATGCTCACCATGATTTCATGTGTGAAGCAGCTCCATGGAAAGGGAAAACCAGCAGATGCTGACAGTCCCTTTGATTGCTTCTTTTTTGCGTATTGAAATACACTCAGTGTTTCACAGCCACCACATTCAGAACAGCAGTTCACAGGAAGGTCTCTCAGTGAGTCATATCTGCAGAGTTGTGGCTGAATAGCTGGACCATAACTAGTTGCAAACTTTAAAAATCACAACTGGGAGCTAATTGTGAGCTGGATGGTGAATCAGCAGCTCTTGATAATCAGCAGCATGGTGAAAGCTGTTCAATGTAAAGCAGGATGGAGCTTCCATGTGACTGCTGGTTCTTCCTCATCTATGCTGGGCACATTCCCTTACATTTTACTACTGGCTTTCCAAATGGGGGTTAATAATAGTAACTCTGGGGGAAGGAAAGAGACTTCTGCTGATTTTACATAGAACATAAATAAGTAAAACTGGGAAGATTTCAGTGTTAGCTCTCCAAAACCCTCATCTCAACACAAAATCTGTCTGTGAGCCAAAAGTGCTCAGTTTTCAGCCTCTACTTGCTTTACCTCTGCTGACTTGCAAACTGCTGATGGGCAGCAACAGGACATCCAGCTGGCAGCCACTTGCTACCAGCATTCCTGAGAAGTTGGTATTGGAGCTGATGATTCTGTTGTAATGCTTTTACTAACAACCTGAGTGATGAGGTGTATCTCACAGTCAGCCAGTTCACTGCTGGTGCTCAACAAAAGGGAGCAGCTGCACACTGGAGAGCAGGGCTGCTCTTCAGAGGGCATTTTACTGCAGAAATGGGCTGGCAGAAATTCTAGGGAGTTTGACAGAAGTAAAGAAGGAATTGGGAGGAAATTCTTCCCTGTGAGGGTGGTGTGGCCTCAGCACGGGTTGTCCAGAGAAGCTGTGGCTGCCCCATCCCTGGAAGTGTCCAAGGCCAGGTTGGACGGGGCTTGGAGCAACCTGGGATAGTGGAAGGTGTCCCTACCCATGACAGCAGGTGGAATGGGATAAGCAAGTCCAGTTTCCCAACTACTCTGCGAAGTCTGTAGATATAACAGTTGTAACTGATTTCACTTGTGACACTTCACTCCTGAAATCATTTGCTGTCCTAGCAAAAACTGACTGGACAGACTCTGAACATTCATTCAATGCCTCTTACAGTTTACTTTCAGCTTAAGGCTTAATTAAAAGATTGACTTAAACAGTCATTACTTTTGCCTGCAGAAATGCATACGGCACACATCAAAATGCACTGCCTGTGGTACAGAAGTCCTACCAAGTCCAGTTTTCCAAGAGGGCACAAACACCTACTGCACAGGGTACTGTTGTGACTGAAATAACATTCTTAATTCACTCAGTATAAATTATTATAGAAGAAGATTGGGCTCCTAATGAGAAAATATCAATTATATCACAATACTAAGCCTATCAGTAAAGTCATGAAAGTCATGAAATTATTTTGTTCATCTACCCATTTTTCATGGAACTCAGGTGGATCCAACAAAAGGGGAAAAAAAGTCTATGTACTATGTCAGTTGATATTAGCTCATTTTATGCTATTCTTGTCTGAAAATGCTGTCTGTAAGTTTTCTGCCTATGCCTTTATATAAGTGTCTTGTTCCAGTTTTGTGTCTCTTCCTGAAGCAGAATTTGGGCTTAAAAACTACTGGTCATTAGGCTGGACCTGGCAATAACTGCATGGACTACTGGCATTTTTACTTTTTTTCTCTCTGTAGGGATTGGTACTTTTTTTGAATATGAGAAATGACTAAGACTGAAAAGACTGGAGCACCCGCCCTTGCTGTTTACTTTGCCCATGGAATCACTACCTCTCTGTTTGCTTTTGCCTGTAGCTTCAGCCTGTTGTCTTCTGTTTTCTCTGTGGAATCCAACAGCTTTATTCAAAGTACAGCCACTGCTGCAGAAGAGGCCATTGTATCCAAATATATGAGAATGGCCTATTCTTCCTTTCTTCATTCTTTCATATCTTCAGCCCTAGAAATTAAAACTTTGTGACATGAAGATACTAGTTTAAGTGTAGTGCTGTGCAATTTAAGTTTAAAGACTTATATGGTGTGTTTCTGAAAAATCAAAAATTAGGTTATCCTATGACAAAACATTTTCTTAATACTCAGCCATAAAAACTAACACCAGAGAAAATTCTTATGATATCCCAACAGTGTGTGTCTAAAATTCCTACTTGAGCCATGTTTCTCAGATTCTAATTTTGATACAGAAACAGCAAACAGCGGCTTTGCAGTGTAAAACTACCAAATAAAATAACTGACCACAGGCTTTAACCACTAAAGACTTCAGCTCATCCTGGCAATTAAAGACTTGCCTAAATATAAACCTTTAAACATACGAGTTCATCCAGCAACAAAAGTTGATTGAGGAACATATTTAAGGACTTGTTAAATACCCTGAAGGAATTAAAGCCAGAGCGACACAGCCTGGTGGAAATAACATCCAGTTATGGTCAGCTGAGCAGGTTTTCTGAAGAGGATGTTGCCTTAGTTGTAGCAATTAGAACCTATAAATTTTTAAGATTAAATACAGCCTAGGTAATCATTTAACACTGGCAAGAAAGCAAAGAAATAAAGGCTGAGTAATCTGTTCATCTTATTGTGAATAAACCAAAGTGAACCCTCAGAATAGAATCATAGAATCATACAATCAACTGGGTTGGAAAAGACCTCCAAGATCAAGTCCAACCCTTGAGCCAACACTGCCATGGTTACTAGACCATGGCACTAAGTGCCACATCCAATCTCATCTTAAAAACCTCCAGGGATAGAGAATCTACCACCTCTCTGGGCAGCCAATTACAATGTCTGATTACTCTCTCTGTAAAATATTTCTTCCTAATATCCAACCTAAACCTCCCCTGGCACAGCTTAAGACTGTGCCCCTGTGTCCTACTGCTGGTTGCCTGGGAGAAGAGACTGACACCCACCTGGCTACAACCTCCTTTCAGGGAGTTGTAGAGAGTGATGAGGTCTCCCCTAGGACTCCTCTTCTCCAGGCTAAACAGCCCCAGCTCCCTCAGCCTCTCCTCATAGGACTTGTGCTCAAGTCCCTTCACCAGCCTTGTTGCTCTTCTCTGGACCTGCTCCAGCACCTCAATATCCTTCCTGAACTGAGGGGCCCAGAACTGGACACAGCACTCCAGGTGTGGCCTCACCAGCGCTGAGTACAGGGGAAGAATCACTTCCCTGGTCCTGCTGGCCACACTGTTCCTGATCCAGGCCAGGATGCCATTGGCCTTCTTGGCCACCTGGGCACACTGCTGGCTCATGTTCAGCTTCCTGTCAATCCAAACTCCCAGGTCCCTTTCTGCCTGGCTGCTCTCCAGCCACTCTGTCCCCAGCCTGTAGGGCTGCAGGGGGGTGTTGTGGCCAAAGTGCAGGACCCGGCACTTGGCCTTGTTGAACCTCATCCCGTTGGAATCAGACCATCTCTCCAGCTTGTCCAGGTCCCTCTGCAGAGCCCTCCTGCCTTCCAGCAGATCAACACTTCCCCCCAACTTGGTGTCATCTGCAAATTTGCTAATGGTACACTCATCTAAATCATTGATAAAGATATTAAACAGAACTGGGCCCAACACCGATCCCTGGGGGACACCACTAGTGACCGGCCGCCAACTGGATGCAGCTCCGTTCACCACCACTCTCTGGGCCCGGCCCTCCAGCCAGTTCCTAACCCAGCACAGAGTGCCCCTGTCCAAGCCTAGGGCTGCAGCTTTTCCAGGAGTGTGCTGTGGGAGACGGTGTCAAAGGCTTTGCTGAAGTCCAGGTAGACACATCCACAGCCTTCCCCTTATCCACCAGGTGGGTCACCTGATCTTAAAAGGAGATCAGATTGGTCAGACAGGACCTGCCCGTCCTAAACCCATCCTGGCTGGGTCTGATCCCTTGTCCATCCTGCAGGTGTTGTGTGATTGCACTTAGGATGATCTGCTCCATAACCTTGCCAGGCACTGAGGTCAGGCTGACAGGTCTGTATTTCCCGGATCCTCCTAGCTGCCCTTTTTGTGGATTGGTGTGACATTCACCAACTTCCAATCATCTGGGACCTCCCCAGTGAACCAGGACTGTTGGTAGATGATGGAGAGTGGCTTGGTGAGCTCTTCCGCCAGCTCCCTCATCACTCTAGGATGGATCCCATCTGGTCCCATAAACTTGTGAGGATCCAAGTGGCTCAGCAGGTCTCTAACTGTTCCCTCCTGGATTACAGGGGGGCTATTTGGCTTCCTGTCTCTGTCTACCAGCTTCAGAGGCCAGTTGTCCTGAGAACAATCTGTCTTACTGTTGAAAACTGAAGCAAAGAAGGTGTTAAGTACCTCAGCCTTTACCTCAACTTTGGTGACTATGTTCCCCACTATGTCCAACAAAGAATGGAGGTTTTCCTTGCCCCTTCTTTTGCTACTGATGTATTTGTAGAAGCACTTCTTGTTATCCCTAACAGGAGTGGCTAGATTGAGTTCAAATTGTGTCTTTGTCTCTCTAATTTTCTTTCTACATGAACTAACTATATTCCTAAACTCTTCATGAGTAGCCAGCCCTTTCGTCCACAGTTGGTAAGCTCTCTTTTTTCTCCTAATTTCCTTCAAAATCTCCCTGTTCAGCCAGGCTGGCCGTCTTCCCCACCAGCTCGCCTTTTAGCACACTGGGACAGCCTGCTTCTGTGCTATCAAGATTTGTTTCTTGAAGCATGTCCATCTCTCCTGGACCCCTTTGTTTTCAAGGGCTGTTTCCCAAGGTAACCTCTGAATCAGCTTTCTGAGTAGGCTGAAATCTGCCCTCCAGAAGTCCAGAGTAGAAGTTTTATTGATGGCCTTCTTTGCATTCCTGAGTATTGAAAACTCTATCATTTCATGATCACTGTGCCCCAGACGGCCTCTGACCACCACATCTCCCACCAGCCCCTCTCTGTTTGCGAGCAGCAGGTCTAGCAGGGCCCCACCCCTGGTAGGTTCATTTACCAGCTGGAGCAGGAAATTATCCTCTATACACTCTAGGAATCTCCTAGACTGCCTCTTCTCCCCTGTGTTGAGTTCCCAGCAGACATCCAGCAGGTTAAAGTTGCCCATGAGGACAAGGGCTGGTGATTTTGAGATATCCACCAGCTGCCTGTAGAATAATTCATCACCCTCATCATCCTGGTTGTGTGGTCTGTAACAGACTCCCACCAGGATGTCAGCCTTGGCCTTCCCCCTGATTCTGATCCACAGGCACTCAGCCTTATTGTTACTGACTTCAAGTTCTACAGAGTCAAGAGACTCTCTAACATACAGAGCCACCCCTCCCCCTCTCCTACCTTGTCTATCCCTTCTGAAGAGCTTGTAGCCACCCATGGCAGCACTCCAGTCAGGTGAGTCATCCCACCACCTTTCCGTGGTGGCGACTACAGCACAGCTTTCCTGCTGCACGATGGCTTCCAGCTCCTCTTGTTTGTTACCCACGCTGTGTGCATTGGTGTACGTGCACTTGAGCTGGGCTGCTGATTTCACTTCTAACTCTGGCTTTCACCCTCAGGCTCATCTGTGGAGAGCCTGGTTTCAACCTCTTCCCCCTTCAAACCTAGTTTAAAACCCTCCCTGATCAGCCCTGCCAATTTATGGGCTGGAGTCCTTTTACCCTTGCTAGATAGATGAAGCCCACGTGACTCTAGCAGGCTTGGTACCATAGAATTTGCCCTATGATCAAAAAACCCAGAATTCTGCTCGTGGCACCAATCCTTTAGCCACCTATTGATAAGATGGGTTTTCCTACTCCTCTCCTCATTCATCTCTGCTACTGCAAGAACTGAGGCAAACACCACCTGTGCTCCTGTTCCATTAACTAACTGACCCAGTGCCTTGATGTCCTTAAATACTGCAGACATAAAAGAATTTAAGAGGAAACAGGCTTTATATTTACTTTCTCTCAATCAAATCAAAATGAAAGCAACCACAAAAATGTCATCCTGGTACTCTGGCAAGTGGCATTAAATATCAAAACCACACAGGCAAAAACCAGTGAACACTGTGTGTGCACAACCAAAGCTTCTGGTACCTCTTCAGCAGACAAAACCTCCATTTTTGGGCTTTGGGGATTACAAAGATATGAACACTGTGCTGTGGACAGGTAATTTGCTTAGGAAAATATGAAAAAAAATGGCACAAAATGTTACAATTATTTGCATGGCTGCTGTCTTGCTCATTTCTCACCTGGTGCCTGGGTACAGGTGAGCTCCCAATGTCAAACTGGAATGTCAAACTGGAACAAACCTAAAGCAGTGAAAATTTAAACAGGTGTGGCCACTGTCAAATTTAAGTGATTTTGTGGGGGAAATACTGCCTTATTTATTTGGTTGAAACATATTAAACACCCTTTTCCACTGCCTACAAACCCAGTTGGGGATCTTAAGGGCAGCTGATCCTGCTTAGACACAAACACATAAAATTCCAGGCTGAAAAAGAACAGACAACACATTTAGCATTTCAGCAGAGCAAGTTGCAGAACAACTGGGACCTCATGCTGTGGTTGACCTGTAACTATATCAGCAAACGAGGTTAATTTTAAATTAAAAGTAATACTGATTTTTTCCCCCTGGTTTTGTTTCCTGAACAGTGGCTCTTAAACGGCGTTCATCAATTATTTTTACCTGCAGTCAAAGCTAATTGTTCTTAAATCCGTGCTCGTTTTAAGTGGCAGCGATGCAGTTTAAAAGACACTTTGTGCACATCTCCCTCTAGTGGGCTCAAAACCACGGAAAAACGACAAAATACGGCCATTTACCCAGGGAGAGAAAAGTATTAAGGATAATTACTGAAGAATATATAATATCTTTTATATAATATATATAACATAGATATCCTTATAAGATCAACTCAAGACCACCAGGATTGGAGATCTAGTGCAATGCTAAAAATACAAGAAACAGAAGACTTACTTGAGGGGGAAAAAGAACATCTTTTGGGTTTACAAACATTTATTTAAACTGCTGAGTAGCATCCTCCAACAACATAGTCCTGGACATGTGCTCTGTGAGCCTCCAGCGAGCAGTTTGCCTTCCCTCATCACACCTGCACAGGGGCAGCAGCTCCTGGGACCCCTTCCAGTCCTCAGGTAAGACCCCACCTGCAGAGCTGCCTCCAGCTCTGGGGTCCAACAGTAAAGGGTCATGGAGTTGCTGGAGCGAGTCCAGAGGAGGCCACGGAGATGGTCCCAAGGCTGGAGCCCCTCTGCTCTGGAGCCAGGCTGGGAGAGCTGGGGGGTTTCACCTGGAGAAGAGAAGGCTCCAGGGAAACCTTAGAGCCCCTTCCAGTGCCTAGTGGGGCCCCAGAAGACCTGGAGAGGGACTCCATCCCATGATGGAGGAACAGGAAAAGGGGGACTGGCTTCCCATTGCCAGAGGGCAGGGTTAGATGGAATACTAGGAAGAAATCCTTCCCTGTGAGAGTGGTGAGGGGCTGGAATGGATTTACCAGAGAAGCTGTGGCTGCCCCATCCCTGGAAGTGTCCAAGGCCAGGATGGACGGGGCTTGGAGCAACCTGAGCTAGTGGAAGGTGCCCCTGCCTATGGCAGAGGATGGGATGGGATGAGCCGCTCGCAGCCCCCGCCCCCCTGACACGGCGCGTTCCCCTCGGTCCGGGGTCCCCATCTCCTTCTCCCCCCGATCCTGGTCCTGCTCCTTCATCTCTACCTCCATCTCGG